TCTCATCAGTATGTACCTTCTGAAACAAAACCTCTCCAGATGCAACCAACACTCTGATCTTGTGGAACCTTACATCAATATGTTTAGTTCTGGCATGATATATCTGATTCTTAGCCAAATGAATAACACTTTGATTGTCACAAATCAACTGAACTCCGCCTTGCTGAACACCAAACTCCTTCACTAATCCAGTAACCCATAAAGCTTCTTTTGCAGCTTCAGCTGCTTCCATGTATTCAGCTTCAGTTGTAGATAGTGACACAACAGATTGAACAGTAGACTTCCAACAAATAGAACCTTCACCAAGAGTAAACACATACCCTGTCGTAGATCTTTTATTATCCAAGTCACATGCATAGTTTGAATCCTCATATCCTACAACCAAAGGAATATCCCGCTAACTACCAAAAATAATTCCATGTCCCACAATACCCTTTAAATACCGAAAGATCCACTTGACTGCTTCCCAATGTTGCTTACCAGGTTTAGACATGTACTTATAAACTTAACTAACAACATGAGCTAAATCAAGACGAGTACATACCATTGCATACATCAAGCAGCCAATAACATTAGAATACAGAACATTTTCCATATCTTCAACTTCCTTATCTGTCTTAGGGCACTGTTCTGATGAGAGCTTAAAGTGATTCGCCAATGGAGTGCTCACTGGTTTTGCGCTGCTCATCGCAAATCTTTCTAGCATTTTCTCAACATAACCCCGTTGAGATAGCCACAATTTCCTTGAGTATCTGTCCCTGCAAATTTCCATTCCAAGAATTTTCTTTGCAGCACCTAAATCTTTCATATCAAATTCTTGACTCAATAAGGTTTTCAAAACGATAACATCATCCATGTTCTTCGCAGCAATCAACATATCATCAACATACAGTAACAGAAAAATAAAAGAACCATCATCAAGGCTCTTAACATAGACACAACAATCATACTCATATCGGTTGTAGTCAATCTTGATCATATAAGAGTCAAACAGTTTATACCACTGTCTCGGATACTGTTTCAACCCATACAAAGATTTCTTCAATCTACAAACTAAATGCTCGTTTCCAGGTTGAATGAAACCTTCAGGTTGTCACATGTAGATCTGATCCTCTAAATCACCATACAGAAAAGCATGTTTAACATCCATCTGCTCTAAATGCAAATCCCAACTAGCCACCAATGCAAGTACTACTCGGATTGAAGTGTGTCTGACCACAGGAGAAAAAAATTCATCATAATCAACTCATTTCTGCTGTGAAAAACCCTTTGCTACCAAATGAGCCTTGAACTTCTCCCCCTCTTTTTATGTTACTGTTGGTTTCTTCTTATACACCCATTTGCAACCAATCAGCCTCTTAACCTTAGAAAGGCGAACCAACTCCCATATATAATTTTGATTCAAAGACTCCATCTCCTCAGCCATGGCAGTCATCCACTTGTCATTTTCCTGACTAGTAATGGCATCATAAAAAGTAACTGATCATCACTGCTAACAGTAAGTGCAAAAGAGACCAAGTTTTCAAAACCCAACCTGCTCGGGGGATTTATATTGGTCCGTCTCACCCTATCTCTGGCGAGACTATAATCTTGCAAATCATCAGTGTCGGAACCACCAGAAATTGGTTGAGAAGTTTTTGGTTTCTCAACTGGAAACTGCTCGAAATCCACCACTGTCGTGTATTTCTTCTGCTGCAACATGGATTGTTCATCAAAAACAAAATCTCTACTGATCACAATTTTCTTCGTAACTGGATCCCAGAACTTGAATCCTTTGACATCTTTCTTGTAACCCAGAAAAATGCACTTCTTCAATTTTGCATCAAGTTTGGATATCTTATCAGTAGGTACATGCACATAAGCAGGACAACCAAAAATCTGTAAGTGATCAAAACTAACATCGTGACCAGTCCATACCTCTTCTGCAACTTTCCCAGCCAATGATGCCCTTGGCGATCTGTTGATAAGATAACATGCCATGTTAACAGCCTCAGCCCAGAAGTGTTTGGGAAGCCCCGCATTCAACCGCAAACATCTGGCTCTTTCATTCAACGACCTGTTCATCTGTTCTGCAACACCATTCTGTTGTGGTGTCTTACACACTGTAAAATGCCTCTTAATCCCATGCTTCTTACAGAAGTGTAGAAACTGTGAATCTGTGTACTCCGTACTATTTTCAGACCGCATACACTTGATTTTTCGTCATGTTTGGTTTTCTACCTCAGTTTTCCACAGCTTGAACTTCTCAAAAACGTCAGACTTCTGTTTCAAAAAGTACACCCAAACTTTCCATGAAAATTTGTCAATAAAAGTAACATAATACCTAGATCCACCCAAAGACGATGTCGTGGAAGGCCCCCATACATCAGAATGCACATAATTAAGAACCATTGAGTTGTGTGCTTCGCAGTCTTGAAACGGACATTAGTATGTTTACCAAGAACACAATACTTGCAAAAATCGAGCTTACAACTTTTGACGCCATGCAAAAAATTTCTTTTGTGTAATTCTGCCATATCACGTTCACTAAGATGAGCAAGACGCATATGAAACAATTTTGTAGTATCATCACATGACTCAACAGAATGAACTCCACCTACAACGGTACTCCCTAGTAATTTGTAAATATTCCCTGCAATCATCTTTCATTTCATCACAGTCAAAGCTCCTTTAACAATCCGAATGGTTTTCCTATCCTCGTCAGCCTTAGGGATAAAACCATTCTTGTGCAAAGTGCCCAAAGAAATCAAATTCTTCTTTAAATCTGGGATACGTCGAACACCACTCAACGTCCGAACAGAGCCATCATACATCTTAATTCTGACATCACCAATACCAACAATAATGCAACATCGATCATCACCCAAATAAACAGAACCAGAATTAACTGACTTGTATATCGAAAACCACTCCCTATTTGACGTGATGTGATAAGAACATCCAGAATCAAGAATCCAAACATCCGTCAATTGAGTCATTGAAATAGAGAGCAAATCACCCTCACTGCAATCAGAATTGTCATCCCCTACCACATTCAAAGACTTGGATGAATCATCACGTTTCTCATCAGTCTACTTTTTCAACTTCGGACAGTCTCGCTTTATATGTCTCGCCTCCTTGCACTTGTAACAGTGAATTGTCTTCTTATCCCTAGATTTGGATCTGGAATTCCGCTTGCCAGACCCTTCCTTCTCTGTCTTCCGTCCACGGTCTCGATTACCCTTGATATATATAAGCTATCGGCTTGAGAGTTTTCCCCTGCATTCTGCTTCCGCTGGTTGTGAGCCAACAAGGCTGTAGTAATCTCCTCAACGTTGATAGTCTCTTTCCCATATGTAAGAGTAGTCACCATGTGTTCGTAAGAGGGAGGCAACGAACACAACAGAATCATCGCTCTGTCTTCATCCTTGTTTTTCACATCAAGCCGAGCCAAATCAGAAACGATTTGATTGAAGACATTCACGTGTTGCGCCAAATCATGATCGTCCTGCCTCTTTAGCCCATACAGCCGCTGCTTTAGATACAATTTTGTCGTTAAGGATTTGGACATAAACTGACTTTCCAACTTCCTCCAAATTTCGTCTAGAGATGACAGAAATAAAAAATTGTAAGTTATTTGAACTAATTAGTTAGATTTTATAAAATAAAACTTATCTGAAGTTTTATCAAGTGGAGTCGATTTTTTTGAGTTTTTATTTAAATTTAATTATAAATATTTATTTAAATTTAATTATAAATATTTATAATATTATGATACTATTTGATTATAATTTAAACGGTTTTCTATAATCATTTACAATACATACATGTTTCTTCATTTTTTTTCATATGTGATATACGTGTATCAAACATAGTTAAGAGACTTGAATCGAACTTACAAAATAATCCACTAATTACTAAAATTTTGAGTTATTCTAGTTATTATTTAAGTTCTATTTTATAACTTGACTCAAATTTAAAATTTTATCGAGTCAAGTTCATAAAATTACTGGTCAGGTCAATTCTATTTAATAAAATTTCTTTCTCTTAGTCAAATTTCACTTACCCCTTCTTCCAAGTAAAAGGTTAGAGCTAAGAAACTTCCATTGATTCTACAATTTACAATTAATTATTAACTTTGAACCCACAGAAAATGAAGTTTCTTTTAAATATGAAAGGGTATTAACTATTAAGCATTCGTTGTTATACATATTCCAACTAATAAATTAATCCCAAAATTTAATATATTTTGATTTTATCTCTAAAGTATTAATATTACATCAATTAAAACATTTTATTAGTACACTCATCATTTTAAACATTAAATATTAGTTTGGATCTAAATGAAATATATTTAAACCATGTAAATCAAATTTTAAATATATATGTAGATATTGCATGAACAATTTCAATATGATATGAAAGGAGAAAAAACAAAGACAGAAATTCTCCTAAATTTTAATGAATTTTAATGATACTATCTTTTTTTCTTGTATTTATTAGGTTCAAATTATCAATATAGTAGGTATATAAGTACATAAAATTAGATTGTATTTTAAATATGTTTTATATATAATAAGATATGTACTTACATTTAATACCGAAACCAATGTTAAGAGTCATAGAATGACTTGTTTGATATAAAACTAATACTTTGAGGATTTACTTGAATATTTTAAAATTTAAGACTAATTTAAAATTTGTAGCATAGCTTGTGAAGGTCTACTGCAATTAGCCCTTCGTTTAAAAACTGATGGTATTAATTTTATATTAAGAAGAAATTGATATCGGTTTACGCGTAAATGGATTGTGTTCATGTATAATCGAATAGTTTTCGAAAGGAAAAAAATTCGTAGTGAACACAGTGTCTCCATCAAATTAAAAAGAAATTGCGTCATTAATTTTGAAAACAAATTAGCCGTCCTACTCTCTATAAGACAACCAAGTAACTTCATTTTTTCTTTGAAAACATCTCAACAAATCTTTGACAAAGACATCAACCAAACAACAAAATTCAACTTCCTTCATTTCCGGGAAAATTTCACATTAAGCCTTTGTGGCCATATTTCCATGGATGTTCATTGGGACTTTCTTTAAGAGCCTGCTGTTTGAGCCATGAATCGTCTGAGATAACCAATGGGAACTCGAGCGGAAAAGGTTTATGTTGCAGTAGGAAACGATATACGTGATGGATATAAGACGTTGGCTTGGACTCTAAGAAAATGGAGTTCTCAATCATTCTCCATAGTCATCCTTCATGTTACTTGCAACATTTCCAAGGACTTTGTTTACACCCCGTGTAAGTTCAAAAAGCAAAGTTTGTTTCTTTTCATTTCTTCATTTGATCATCCATTTTTTCATCTTCTTCATCAGTCGGGAAGCTTCCGGAGACCGCCGTGAGTGAAGAGAAGCTGGAAATGTTGAGGAGGTATGAGCAAGAGAAGACAGACAAGCTACTTTCCAAGTATATAGCTTTCTGTGGCAAGGTTTTGTGCTATTTGCTTATGCCTATGGTGGTTTTAACTAAATTACTAGTTTTTACTGTGTTGCCATTGATCTGATTATACTAGTTTTCTTGGGGGGGGGGGTTCATAGGTAAAAGCTGAGATATTAAAAGTTGAGAAATATGATGAACCTATCCACCAGCTCATAGTAGATTTGATGTCAGGACTCGAAATCGGCAAACTTGTCATGGGAATGACATTCATGAAATCCTCATCCTGGTATGAATTTTTTTTTAAATTTCGAATTCCTCGCTGATTTTATATTCAAGTTAGGTCTTTCCATGAATCGATTCATTCCACCATAGGAGATCAAAGAGTGCAATAAGTGGAGCATTCTATGTTCATCAATACAAGCCTGGTTTTTGTGAGCTATACGTTATATGTGGAGGGAAATTGGTGGTCCTCAACGAAAACATTGATGAAGGGCACATGGAGGATGATCGAGAAACAATGGTAGCAAAAATAAGAGAAAGACCAAGCATTAGAAACTTGCTGGGAAGAATTTTCAGCGATGGTTCCCCTCTGATCAGACGTCAAAAATGTCCATGCCCTCCATCGACTAACCAGGATTCATCCAAGAATCGGTGGGAAAATAATGTGCAGGAGCTTGAAAATTATTTCCAGCATTTGTTGTCTTTGAATTTGGATGAGGATAGTGATGATCTGTTTCAAACAAATCCAACGGAGTCGAACCCACCAGAACACAAGTTCCAACATGGTGAGATGAGATCATTGTCTATTTTTTCTTTTCCTGAATTTGTGATGATAATGTTGTAGCAGTTAGAAAATTTTGTTTTATGCCTAACTAATCCTTCTTTTTACTACAGTACCTTTACTTTTTCAATCTTATCCATGTCCATTTCTTGACTCTAGAGGCATATAACAGTGATAGGATGATTAGCTATATTTGGTCCCAAGACTGTGATTTACTGACAATTATGTCCCATTTTCAGAATGATGCAGAGGACATGGAAGCTGTGCAATGTAAGATAGATGAAGCTCATGAGATTGTTCATTTGAAGAAGAAAGAAGCAAAGGCTGATGTTGAAAGAAAAGCAAAAGCTAAATGGGCTACTATTTTATGCAATAACAGGGTAGACTCAAGCTCTTGATTTACCTACAAATATTTTAAAATTTGTTTTTGATTTGATGCCTTGAATTCAATCATGTTCATTTAGGCTGAGGAACTGGAAACTCTGATAAGAGAAGAGATCACTCAGCGGTTAGAGATAAAGAGCATGTTGGACACTCGAAAAGAGAAACTTTATGAAGTAACAAGTGATGTTGAAGAGAGCAAGCATAGGCTTAATTCACTGAAGGAACTCCAAGCTGAACTATCAATTAAACTCCAAATATCAAACAAGGCAAGAGCAACTGCTGAGGCTCAGTTAGAGAAGATTCAGTTACAAGAGCCGAGATGGTAAGAGAAATCGAGGAACTGAAGCGACAAAGGGATGTTTTTAGACGTAGAATAGAGTTTTGTAGAGAAAAAGATGCACTTGGAATGGTTACAAGATCGAGTGAGCTAAGGTGTATCTTTAAAGAATACACAGCTGATGATATCAGATTGGCGACCGATAACTTCTCGGAGCATTTACGATTAAAGTCATGTGGGGATTGGTTGAATGTTTATCGAGGGCGAATCAATCATTCAACAGTTGCTATCAAGATGTTAAGCTCTGTTAATGGAACATCTCAAGAAGATTTTCAAGCTAAGGTACGGCTTCTTTCTTTAGTTGTAATAACTGGATCTAATTGAATTGGTGATTGCACAGGAAGCATCGTATTCCATCCTCAATATTTCTTCTTGGAAAAGGTATTCATAGGATACTATTGGTTTAGTGTAATAAAAGAGTGAATAATATCATATATGTAGGTGAGGCTTCTTACTGACATTCGACATCCGCATTTGGTTGCTCTGATGGGATTCTGCTCGGAGTTGACATGCATGATCTACGAATACATGCATAATGGTAGCTTGAGAGACATTTTATTTACCCCCCAAAGAAACTGTAGGAAGACAAACAAAAACCGGGTCCTTGGGTGGTACGATCGGATCCGAATAGCTCGTGAGGTTTGCATGGGGTTGGTCTTCCTACACTTGGCTAAGCCGAGACCCATAGTTCACGGTCAACTAACGACATCCAACATCCTCCTGGACCGAAATCTTGTTGCAAAGCTTAGTGGCTATGGCTTGAGACAACACCATGATTTTTATGATCTTAGTTTTGATATCCGGGCTTTTGGGGTCCTATTGATGCAAATGTTAACCGGTAGGAACTGGGCAGGGTTGATTGAAGATGCTGTGGTGGACCGGCTGCTCTCGCTCAGGTTCTGGATGAGAAAGCAGGGAATTGGCCTTTAGAATTGGCAGTAGAACTTGCAGGAATATCCATGAAATGTATATCGGTGAGCCGTGGGGTGAACCCGAATTTGCAGATTGCGAGCGTGGTGGAAGAGCTCGATGAGTTGAAAAAAAAGGCTGAAGATTTGGTGGCTAGAGGAGGATTTGAAGTAGTGAGCAATGAGAATGTAAACATGGAAGATGCAAACGATGTACCGAGTGTTTTCCTCTGCCCCATATTCAAGGTTGATCTCAACGATAAATCCCTAAAAAATGATTCATTACAATTATGTTCTGGTTATGTTTATGATATGCTTGAAACTGGTGTTTGTGGGTGCAGGAAGTGATGAAAAATCCACATGTAGCAGCTGATGGTTTTTCATATGAATTGGAAGCCATAGAAGAATGGCTGAAGTTGGGGCATGATACTTCTCCCATGACAAATTTGAGTCTTGAGCACAAATTCTTGACCCCAAATCGCACCCTTCGTGGCCTCATCCTTGAATGGCAGAATCAAGGATCAAATTTGTCTTGTTGAATTAAAGACATTTCCTTATGAAGATTGTCCTAACGTTTTTTCAAACAATGTCACCTTTTTTAAAAGAAAACCTTGATTTACTATTTATTTTTAAAAAATTAAGTTTTTGTTTAATTATTTTGATTGTGAATCACCATCGACCATAGAGTTAGGTAGGTTAAATAACTAAAAACGTTTTCTGAAATAATTCTAAGAAAAATCATTTTGAAAGACAAAAAATTGTTTGCATTTTACTAAGGACTCGTTCTTTTAAGGGTTCAGAAGTCAATTACGCATAGGAAAAGATATACACCCCATAACGTCTAAAAATTGATACATAATCACTTATATGTTGTCGTAATAGTGGAATTTGTATATTCGAGTCAAAATTTAAGTATGATCCTTTTCCTTTGAAAAACTAACATGATTTTCCCTTCAACCATTTAGAATTCTATCCCATCAATTTTTCAAATAAGGTAAAGTTGCATCATTATTTATGAAAATAAAACTAAGAATGATTCAAATACGAATGCATCGGAGTATCAAAAATAAAATATTAAGACATACTAATGTCATTGCCATGATGGTTTTGAGGGCGTGACACTAACAATGAAATAATGCACACAATTATTAAGAATATTACAAGAAAATTTATTTAAACAAAATAATTAAATACCAATTCGATCGAATAATTTTATTAAATTGTACTTCGGTCGTTTAAAATACCTTCCCATTAATTATTTGATCGAAGAAAGTATATATATGGGGAAGAATCCACTTACACAATGTAAAATTCTTTTAATTTTATACAGATTTAGGACTGTTGGATGAGTAAAAATAGATGTCACAGATTAACAGTAGGATATATGAAGATATTCACTTGGAAAAAAAAAAACAAAGAGTCAATTTGGGTCATCTATTTTTACTCATCCAACGTTCCTAAATCTGTGTAAAACTAAAAAAAATTTTACATTGTGTAAGCGGATCCTAACCCTATATATATATATATATATATATATATATATATATATATATATAAAGTATACATTTTATTCAAAATAATTTACTTTCGTCTGAATAATCATATTGAATCGTATATCTGCATTTGAAAGGATTTTCATAACTCATTCCACAATTAAATTTCCTTACCAATATAAAGAAAAACATTGAAACCTATTGTAACAGAGGATACATAGAAACCGGCAAGTGCTAACAAGTTGTTAAGATTTAAGAATTTGAGATTGTAAGACTAAGTTTGAATCATACTATCGTCACTCTTGGTGGACAATCTATAAATTCATACGTAAATCCAAGTTGGATCTTAAGTTTGCACTGGCCTTATACTGATGTATAAAAAAATAAATAAATAAAGAATGAAAGGATACATATACGCTATATATGCGTGAAATATAATAAATAAAGTATAAAATAGGTTTACTATGTATGTAAATATATATGTGTTATTAATTAAAATCATACCATACATTATATATATATATATATGACATGGATTTAATGTAAGTATCAAAACATGGCAGACTCAAGTACAAAATAAGCGAAGCATTGATCCTTATTAAGCCTGATGATTAAATCCCTCGTATCATCTGCAAGTCTTTTGAGTAAGATGATAAATTTTTCGGACAATCTATAAGAATTCTGGGCAAGTTGTTTTCATATGATATTTGAAAATAATGAAAAAGCGATTTTGGAAGTTTATCATTTATTTATTTTTTTCAAAAAATGAAATTTTTGAAAAGTAAGAAAGTGATTTCCAAAGTTGCTTACTTAGTAAACTATTTCAAAAACTAGTAAGTCCTTTGGGCCATCAATAATTCTTTCAAGCCTAATGATTTAAATTCTCTGAGTCATCTGGAAGTCTTTCAAGCTAGATGATAAGTCGTTTAGGTCATCTATAAGACATCTAGGCAAGATGTGTTCATATGATAAATGAAAACAAATGAGAAATCAGTTTTCAAAGTTTCTCATTTAAAATTTTTAGAAAACGAATTTTTTTGAAAAGTAAGAAAGTGATTTTCAAAGTTTCTTACCTAGTAGATCATTTTCAAAACTATTAAGTCCTCTGGGTCATCAGTAAATCTTTCGAGCTTGATGATTAAATCCTCTAGGTCATCTGTAAATCTTCTGAGCAATATGACAAGTCTATCGGGTCATCTATATGAGATTGGTGTAAACTAAATGAGAAGATTCTCACGGATGAGCATAGCATTCAATTGAAAGATCCAATATGTGTGGGTTCGAGAAAGACTGAGTGATAAGATTTTCAGATGCAAGAGAATAAATCAATATAAGATTGAAGAAAGATATTGGTACTAGAAATATGGAGTTACAACCAGAGTAGAAAAATTAAGTAGTCATTTGTCTTTGTCACGTTCTTGTTTCCATAATAACAAGTGAGGCCAAATTGGTCCATTTCGATTTCCGGGTAAATTATTTAGCCTATTAGAGCATCTAAACTTTTAATTTGGGATCTAATGCAATTGCAACAGTTCCCATGGAACCGTGATGAGTTCCATAGATATAATTTTTTAATAGTCCGTGTCAGGTGGGCCCCATAGCTTGATTAAAAAATAAATTTCAAGAGGGACTCGTCACACCGACATGACGAGTCCTAATAAAAAATAATTTTTTTTGTAATTTTTTAAAAGAAAATTAGAAAAAATAATATTTTATTGACATGTAACTCGTCACTCCGGTGTGACGAGTTTCAACGGCTATAATTTTCAAAATTTTTTAAAAATTTCAATGGAAATTTAACTGACCCAAAACTAAATGAGTAGTATCGGTACCATTACTCAGAGTATCGGTACTACTAATCTAAATGATGGAATAAGGCAATGTTGAGAGAGGGTTCAACGGCTGAGTGTTGTTTTTAGAGTTTGGGGAAAAATTGTGATATCTTAGGCTTTTATAAGCTGAACCCGACAGGTAGTATCGATACTTCAAAGCAAAATCTTACTGATATCGATACCTAGTATGGATACCCTCTCAAGCTTGTAGTAATAATATTAGTACTGTATGAACAGTATCGATACTAGATGAACAATATCGATACTAAGTGCACAGAATGGTTCAAAAATTGCAAGAAAAACACTTATGATGCAAATTAAAAAAGAATGGTGGTATAGGCAAATCTAATTGGGAAAAAAACTACACTTAAGCATACTTTGAACATATTGTTAATTTTCATGAAAAATCATAAACTCCCCCTAACTAATTGCATAGAAGGCATTAAAGAGGTCATTTTGCATGCATTTTTCTTTATACATAAAAGTGAAAAAGTTATTTTAAACACAAAATCAAGGCATTTTTATTACTTGAAAATTACTTTTTTATACAATTAAATATCGACTACAAAAACTTAAATAAACAAATTTATTACTTATATTTGCGTAATTTTTGCCGATGTCGAGGCATGGTAGAATGGTAATGATGTGATGCTCATCAATTTCGTCGTGGTCATTCACCTTCTTTATTTTCCTCTTCTTCCGGTTTCGGTATTCCCAACACTACTCCACCACTTTGATATTCATCTTCGGGTGAAAACAATGGAGTACTCAATGTATTTGACACCATCATTTGCGTCATTGCCTCAAATTGAGATTTTCCGTGATGAAGAAGATGATCCCATGGACCTCTTTCTTTCGGTTCTGAGGAAAATTGTTGTGAAGGTGACACTTGATCCCACCCACTTCCTTCCCACGCCGCTCGATTCTCCATCGATGGTTGATATGCACTATATCCACCATAAATTTCTTGTGATGGATAATAATTGGCGGAAGCATAAGACAAAGATGTTGACGAAGATGATGATTTTTCCCATATTTATCCTTCATGGTTCCCCACTCAGACCGCTCCTCCGCCGTTGTCAAGTATGGTTTCCCAGTTGCTTTATAATTTTGGAGGTAGGGAGAAATAATGAAATCAAAATATTCGGGTTGTACCTCGAAACAATTAGGCAATCGTAAATGTCTATTTTGCCATTGATATATGAATGTAACATGCTTTCTCGGCCAATCTTTGCTATGCTTCCCACGCGCATCTACTTTATGCAAATTGTCAATGATATGTATTGACATTTCTATCGGTTGGTGAAACCCAAATTGTCGGAAACTCTATCGACGACATGGATCTCAACAATTGCAAAATGGAGCAATGGTGTTATGGCACACCATGTGTCTGCTCCTTCAAAAAACATTGGCGGTAAACACCATTGGATATCCGACTCATAATAAGGCATCCAATTAAACTGTCAAAAGTATTATGTTAGTATAATTAAACAATTAATATTACAATTTAAACGTTAATGCAAAATATACGAAAATTTACCGCATGTCTACTGGCGATATCAATTCTCATCTGAATATCTACTTTGGTTGCACTTGACAACTTCGTATCGATTATTCGGTGTCGCCGTCTAAAAAACAATTACATTATTTATTGTCATTTTCAAAATATTTAAATAAATATTATAAAATATGTTTGTACTTGGCATATTTGTTTCTATTTTTACATTTGACACCTCATTTAAATACGTTTCATTTTAGTCATGTTGATTGCTTTTGGTCTTATTTCGGTTCTAGTACTTGTGCTTCAGATTCTTCATATTTTGATTTTTTTTCCATATTTACGTATGTTCCTTGTTTCACTTTAAATTTTATATACGTATATTTAATGACAAATCCAGAAAAAAATTATAGACTTGGTCAATATAAATATAATAAAAATATTATCTAAAAAATTCATATATATATTTTGATCACCTATCGTAAAACAACAATGATGTTAACTTGGCATTTTTAATTATTTTTCAATTATGACATGATATTATCTTACGATGACACATCAACGCTAATTTTTTAAAGACGAGAGACCAAAATATAACTAAAATGTAACATTAAGTGTGAATTAAAATAAATATTAGTTGAGTGACCAAAATAAAATTAAATAATAAAGGGTGGTTTAATAAATAATTTAACCTTTTTGGGCATTGTTTTTTTTTTTGGGGAGGGTTGGGGGGGAAGGCCTAAGCCTAGATATTCCCA